TGTCTACGTAAAATCTTGGTTTTACGGTGGTCATCAAGATGAGCAGCACGTTAGGTTCCTTATGTTCAGATCCGTAGGGATTACGAAGCTGCGTAAAATGTACGGGACAAAACGTAAGAAGGTGACGTAAAATATCGCTCACCTGTATTCGGCGCAAAATTTCCCAAATCACAAGTGAAAATGAATAAATATCGGCCAATTTAAAGTGATGAAAATTTTTTGCATTCAGTGTCTTGGTGAGAACTTCTGGCGCCATGTATCGTTTGGTGCCCACTTGCACATTTATATCGCTTTTAGTTCGAACCATGTCCTCACTAAATGAATCCAAGCTTGAGCATCAAATTAGCTTACAATCAGTCTGATAAAGAAGGATGATTTTGGCAAAAAAACCGCATTTTAACTAAAAAAACATCAATCACTGAATTAATCTTCCACCTAATTACTGAATAAAACACTAAATTTTCCTTTAGAAAACACACCGTTTCAACAAAGAAACAAAGATATGACTACCAAAAACAATAACTTACGTTAATGCAAGCCCGAAATCTGCAATGCAGCAAACACCACGCCTTTTGACAATGATATTTTTCGATTTTACATCACGATGAGCAATAGCTGGCTTCTGTGGTGAGCCGGTACCACGCAAGGCACCGTGCAAATGTTCCAGGCCGCATACTGCGCTAAAACCAGCCTTATTTCGCTTCCGAAATGAAATGCAATTTACACGGCTCATGCGAAATTTTTCACAACGTCGTTTCAAATGTCCATACAACTAACTGTCAAGTTAGACTACGAATCTCACAATGTCAGGCATCAGCAAAACAATGAGCAAAACTATTCAAAATACTAATAACTTCAGTAATCTGCCACAGAAATAAAGCTCGATTATTTTCAACTGCACAGGTTTCATACACCAGAACTGGAGGATTACAAAGAGATGCCGAGTATTCAAAGCCATCCAAAATTGGCAGAATGATAAGCATTAAGATTTAGCACTGTTTCGCTAACAATTCACTCCAAAATGAAAAAGTTTTTTCATGATCGTTTCCACCCCATTTCACAAATTTTGGTTGAATTTAAGGTCAAAAGTTAAAACCGTCCAAATCGTCCGCATTTCATGAAAAGCGGAGAATCTCGAAAGTAGCTCGAATAGTAGCAAAATAAAAATTACATCCTAAAACTACTAATTAACTGATTTCCCAGTGAATGTGTGTTCTGACCTGAGCGCCAATTGTAGAGCTTCGTTCACAGACAGGGTTTCGCCACGCTGCAAATACTCAAAAAGCGAGCCGTGCTCATGGAAATCCGTGATCAACAACATCTGTGTAATCGAATCTTCACTGCCAATATCAGCGGCAACAAATTCTAAAAAAAAAAAA